TTAGAGCAGTTACAAAACTGTCCTATTTCAAAGCATGCTAGCATTCAAGAAATGAAGGTCCTGCCGCCAGGAGCACCTGCTTCCACGTTTGAGGTTTGCTCCTGCACAGCACTTGGTGCTGGGTGCCSTGGGAGGCAGGTAGGCACCAGGAAACGTGCGGCTCATCTGGGAGGAGAGCTCAGCTCCTCCTGCCCTGAAAACTTGCCGTTTCAGACATCCTGCATGGGCAGGAGGTCACAGGCCACCCGGCGGTGTCATCTCCTGCAGGGCAGCTCCCTCAAAGGAGCCTCATGGATTATTCTGTGACTAGGAATAAGCCCTGGAACGCTCAGGCATTTAAGGCAGAATCGTCTTTTGAGGAATCTGTATGTACTCAGGCAGCTGTAACTTCTCAGTGGGAAAATAAATCAAGACTTRAAAATACTTTTTTTTTCTCTAGTRCACCTTCTCCATAAGAAGAATCAGTTGGCCTTAATTATAGGCAGCATTGCAGCTGCAGGCAATCTTGATGTTTCTTTGGGAGCTCAACTCATGAGAGATGTGGCACCGTGCTGAATTCTCTGATCTGAAAGTTTGCGATTGTTTTGGACAGTCAATAACTTAAATGGAAAAGCACGGACTTTGTCAGGCCATTGAATAAAAATGTGCTGAGATGTTAGTTAACTGTTTATTTAACTGGTGATCAGTTTTGGTGAGTGAAGTGAAAGGGAAGTGCTAACTTTATGCAGATGAACAAAGAGGGGRAAAAAAAATGAAAGGGAAACTAAGTATCAGTGAGAGATGTTTCTGGCTGCTTTTCAATTCCAAATTGGGCTAATTCTACCTTCTGAAAGGAAGATAATTGGGAACACATAATTGAAGTTATTTTCTCTCAGAGAGAAGAAACCTCTTGTACATCATTTGCAAATGGACAGGAAAAATGACCACATACAGTGTACTCTGAATGATGGCACATTCATCACAGCATCATCTTTAGATTTCTTTGCTGATTTTGCACAGTGGTTTTCACCCATCTGAGCGTGGATGGGGAAGGTTCACGTGGGAGAATGCACTTGGATAACTCCAGAGCTCCTCTGTCTGGGCAGCCATTAAACTGGAGGCCGTTGGTCACGATGGGGCCTGCAGTACAAAATGCAACCCRAAGAAGTGCTGAAGCGAGTGTCAACTTAGTGTACCGAAATAATCGTGTAGCAATTCCACGCGACTGCTTCTTTGTACCTGGCTTTTTAGGAACTGAACTTTAGTGAGGAAGATGTGCTGTTGTTGCAGTGTTCTTGAGGGGGACACAAGTGATGAACGCACTTCCTTTTGTTTGTATCATGAAGATATTTTCTACTGTGGGGTTTAACCCTTGTTTTAGCTCTTTAACACCAGGTAACCCATTAATTAAAGGATCTGTACAGTGTTCATGAGCTCATTTGCAGGTACGAATAGTTGTTGCGGTTCTCCCAAAGGTGGCTTGGTCTCAGTAGCAGGAATTTAATCTAGGTGCCCCTGCTACCAACGCATGATGCTCTGTGCTGGCTCTTTGCAGGCCAAGGCTCTTTCTGTCTTCCCAGGGTGACTCATCATCTTCAGTGATGTGGGAATTAGCCAGGCAAAAGGATGGTCAACGGCTCAAGAAGCCTTTATTGCGGTTCTGCATAGACCACAAATCTGGGCTGACCGTAGCTGACACACTATATATTTGTGTGCACATCGAGGCATCGTGGAGGAAGATAACTATGGTAGATTAGGCAGCAAATAGGATTTCTAGACAGCCTTGATCAATGCACAGATCAGGAGAGAATAGGGGAGGTCTAAAAGAATAACAACAAAACTMGAGTTGTATTTTCATCCTGACCTAACGAAGGAGGAGGAAGGAAATTGCTTTGCTGAAGCAAGCATTTTACATCAGACTCTCTGTTTYTCTCTGTTTGCGTGCGTGCGTGTCCCGACAAACTCAACAGCGTGTTCATAGGCATGAAATGTGTTTTCCTGGAGGCACACAGTCAGCGGGTGCCGTGTGAGGAGGAAAAAGATGTGCCTAGCACTGCTTGAATGCTGCTCAAAAAGACAGAGCACTTTATTAAAAAATAAGTTAAAGTGTCTCGTAATGTTATGGTTAGTATCAGCTATTTTTACTGACTTTGGGTGCTGGGTAAGAACCTTGCTTAGCCTAGAAACATGTGGTGTAGAAAGGAAAGTTGAAGCACAGCCTGTTTGTTGTGTGTTTGGGGCCTTTGAGTGTGACCTCCAAAGCCAGGCCCGCCCTCAYGGAGGGCTTCACATCTACAGATCTTGGTCTTTTGTTTCAGTTGGTGCCTGAGCTAAGCAGCACAAGCAGCAGCGGGACGCCAGGCTAGGGGGGACACGGTGTGCCCTGGAAATGCCCCGTGCTCGGCCCTGAGGCCGGCCCTGCGCCGGGGACGACACGGCGCTGCCGGCTGGGTTGTCAGCAGGGCTTTACYGCAGAAAGAGGAAGGATGGGTTGCAGTTATAGCACTGGAAGAAGACCAGCAAATTCTGCGTGTGGATTTTGTCWTCGCTTCAGAACCCATGCGTGTTGATAGGGAAATAGCTTCTGTGCTTCCCTTTCTGGGGAATAGGCCGCTCCTCGTGCCGTCTTGTATGTGTCCATTCACAGAAACACAAAGGGTTGAGGGTAAAAGTCCAGGAAAAGTCCAGGAAAAGTGTCTCCCTTGTCATGTGGCAATGGTCATTCCTTTCTGCACGGAAACCAGAACGGGCACGAGAGATGGAATAATATTTTAAGAGGCTCGGTTGCTTGATTGATTTCTCAGGCTAATAAATCCTTGGCTGCGCTTGCTGCGTTAAAATATRTGTTTGGGCAAGATTCATGAGCAGCTCTTAGGAACAAGAGAGCAAAGGAAAAAATAAGGTGCTTGCAAGATTAAATACTTAGATTTGACAGCTTTAATTGGCCTATTAATAAGCTCTTTTTTTAGGTATGTTATTTATTATTCTTAATGAAACAAGTTGTCTGCTGGGCTTCTAAAAATACACATCAATAACTGGCCAAGGGCTTCTGGGTGTGCTGGGCCAAGTACCAGGTTCTGAAACTCCTAGTGGCACGGGTGTCCTTACCTCATCCGGAGTCATATATCCCATGTAGGTGGCACTTAGGCGACTTAGAGGGCAAATGCACATCCTGTGCACTGTGCAGGCCTGTCTCGCAAGTGAAAAAGCTAGGATGGTGGTTGCCCAAACATGTCGGTGTAGTTGGATTTGCACTGCAGAATTTATTGAGCTGTTAATGGATGTTGAGGATTTCCAGTTACTTAACAGCTTGCTCAGGGTGATTGCTAGGCATCCCCAAATCCCAGACAAATGCGCAATGTCTTGGGATACTGCTCAGAAGAAGAAAGAACGTATCACTGGGAAACCTTGAACGTGTTAGGTCTGACTWGTGTTCTCAACGAATATGTGGTAGTTAGACCAGACATGGCCCTCCAGGGAAATTCGCCCAGCCCGTGGCTTGTTACCAGCCTGTTGCCCTCCCATCCATGGGACCCTGGCACCTATTTCCCTTGGGAATGGCTGCACCTGCTCTAGAGAGCATGTGCAGGGTAGGCAGCATGTGTGTGCAGTGAATCCATCACTTCTGAGACCTGCGTTCCTCCTGCTCCTGCTGCTCCCTTGGGTGCAGCATGTGGGGTAGGTCAAGATGATCAGGGACGGGGGTAATGGCGAAGAGCCCAGCATGGGCTCTAGAAAAACAAACGCGACAAGGTCAGAAAAAATGCAGGAATTTGGTCGTTGGAGTGGCTGATAAAAGTATTGCTAAGCACAGTCTTGAGCACTCCTCTGCTTTGATATCTCACTTGAAATTTCTTCCTTGCCTGTAAGAAGYAAAGTTAAAAAAAGCATGAAAGTATTAGTTAATTCTCTTGCAACGCTGTGAAGCTGCTGTACTCTGTTGAAAATGACTGACTGAGATTTATCGTGTCAGGTGCATGTAGTCTCTACAAGCTATAGGTGACCAGTGTTTTGTTTCTCCAGTTATTCTGTTTTCTTTCCATTCAAACAGGTATGATGCATGGACAAATACTTGCCTCTAGATTAACACTCATCAGATTGGGATCTAAGGTCCAATCCCTGAYGAAGGCAGGAATTAACCAATTAAATTACATACTTTACTGAAATACCGTATTTCATAAATAAGTTAATTTTTGCATGCAAGGCTTTCAGGAAAGCAGCGCWTGCAAGGAAAGCTGTCGTCAGCATCTTTTAATCCTGAAATGACCGAGTTCCTCATTGCTCGCACCAAACTTAACTTTTTCTGAAAAACTCTTAGGCCCTAGAATGTTTCTGTGCTTCTCAAAATATGCCCATTCTTCTGCTGGTTTTCAGGGAGACGACTCACTGAGATGGACTGCAAATATTTTATGCCAGCTCTTAGCACATGAGGACCAAGAGGTCTCAGTTTCTAAGCACATATTAAAACCTTTGTGTTCATAGTACTAAAAATCTGTGGACCACCTTCTGCTTTCACTAATGTTAATAGCAGGATTTGTGTCAAACAAACAAGCAAAGAACATAACTAGCAGTTAGGGATTATCTCTGTCTATATACAATGCCAGTGTAGGAAYGACTGCTTTAGTATCTTTTCTGTTGTGTTGTTAAATGGTGGAAGCTTTTGCCAAATCCAAACTGAAATGCTTCCAAAGCCTTTTTCAGTGTTGGAAAATGTTTGTATTGAGTTATCCTTGGAATAATTTTCTCCTTTATTTATTATTATGTGCTTACCCAGTAGACACCTAATTATGAGGCACAGAACACTTCTCATTCTAAGAGGATATATAGCACTTTACTGGATGTTTTTCGGAGTCCATTTTCATTACGTTAAATGGGATGTTTACTTGCATGGATCCCTTGGGTGTTGAAAAAAAGCAAAAATAGGACAAAGAATGAAGTTTAACACTGAACAGCTAGTAGACCATCTTTGTGTGGGGGAATGCTTTTACACCACATCACAGACTGTTTGTCTTTTTTTCCAGAGTGGGTATCCAAGYTCTGGGCCTACATCAAGCACTCCTGCCTTCAGGCCTGAGGATGAACTGGAACATCTGACCAAGAAAATGCTCTATGACATGGAGAACCCTCCCTCCGATGACTACTTTGGTGAGCACTGCCATGTCTCGTTGAATCAATCTGTCCATAGCCCCTCTCTGTATTTCCCAGGTTCTGTAATGAGGAGGCCTGACAGCTGYACTGTTAATGCAGTGACATTCACATTGATGGATTTGCATTCTATGCTTGGGTTGGAAGTGTAATCATCCATAGGAGTTTCTCTATAATTTCAGTATAAATCTCGTGCTCACTGACTGCATGTGAAGACTCTAAACAGTCTTTCTAGTTACAAACTTGAATTTTTCAGTGTCGGGTTCATTTTGACACCATCTGTCCTTGGCTTCTTTGCTACAAGGCTGAACTCAGGTGTGGTACTCTGTCTCACCTGTCTCTCCATCCCTTTCGCCTTGTACTTGCAGTAACTCTGATGGGATAGATGCTTTTGCTCCTGAGGCACAAGTTCAGGTTACCTATATACTGGCATAAATCCAAAGGAAATCCATTTTGAGTCAGTCATGTTAGTTTTACATGGACGCCAGTTGGCCTAGAACTGTGTCAAATGGATGTGGAAAGATGATTCTGGACTGACTGGCTTATTATTATCTCTGTCATTGTTCTCGTCTGGAAAAGGTTAGAGATGATGTGCTTTTTAAGTAGCATATAAATTTGTTATCTCAGGAATCTGTAGGCATAAAATATGTATCATATCACTATATAAAATGCTTATACAGATTCTAAACTGCATTTGAAGCCAAGAGACTTGGGCATATTTGATGTTTTCCCTGTCTGTTTTTTACAGGCTTGGTTGATAGAGTTGTTGGGAAAGAAATTGTTGTCGTTTGCTGAGTTTAAGGCCATGGGAGATGATTCATTTTGTCGTCTTTACTTTATTTTATGACCACTTCTTAAACATTGTCATTTAGCCCTTAAGCCTGGGATGCACATTCTAGTTGGACTAAGCATTTCTGGCTTAAAGAGACTTCAGTGATTTTGTTCAGTCAAATCAGGTGAGACCAAGGTGTCACTGGTGAACGAAGACCTTGCAGTGACAAGGATTTGATGAAATGAGAAAGTTGAGATCTTTACATCAGTCATTGGCCTGTGAGACTAGGGTAGACATGAGTCTCATTTTCTCCCAGTATCCTCTGGYTCTCATTTTCATCATCACAGCTAGAATGTCTTCTCTAGAGACCCTGATAATTTTCAAAGCTGGTGGTTAGCACAGCTCTGAGGTATGTGCCAGAATGACTGACTGAGAGAAGATAACCAGAGAGATTTTCTGTGCTACTGTAGAACTGTATTTGACCCTATCTCTGCCCCATATCCTTTTGTGCACACTCTGTAATGTTTTAAAATTGAAGCAACAACCAGACAAACGTAACATGTATTTAGCTATTAGCATGTGTGGGTGAGAGGGAAAAACCTTTTTCCTGTTCCCTTCAGGCAAATGGCTAAAGCCCTGAAGCATGAGATTTGATTACAGTCCTTTTCTTAATGCAGAGCTGTAAGTGGCATGAGCAGGTTGAGGGACTTGAAGCCCAACCCGTTCTCTGCGTAGCTCAGAAAGGGAGGCAGGTCAACAGAGAAAATGGAGATTCACAAGACCCAAGGTCAGAGAGGACCTTACCATTATTCAGTCCAATGTCTTACTCTCAGTTTCTCCCAGGAACTTGATTGAATCATGACTTAAAAAAAAAAAAAAAAAAAAAAAAATCTAATCTTATCTTAAAGACTTCAAGCAATGGTGAATCAACCACCTACCCTGATAAGCTGTTCTAGTGATTAATTTTCCTCGCAGCTCAGAAATTGCTTCCTGAAGTGGAGCTTTAGTTTTGTTTAGCACTTGTACTTATGACGCTGAAATACTGGGATTTTGCATGCTGTACCACTAAGATGGTTTGATTCTGTTTGGGGGACGTAGTACATCAAATCTTTTTAATCCTAAAGGGATACCTAGCTCAAGGGATTGGGATATAAAGTCTCTCAACATCAGGTCATCAATGTGATTATCAGATGAAAGGTCAGACTAATGCCATGCCATTAGCTCTTAATTTGACAGGAAACAAGGAAATGGAAAGCAGACTCCAGAGCATTCACAAATGTTGATAGAGTTGTTATTATAAATAGCAGCATGATCAAAGGTTGAGTGACCGTGATGCAAACTAGAAGACTAACTCCAGACAACAACCCCTCTCCTAACTTGGGTGGCGATGTTTAATGAAAAGCTGTGGTCTGACTGGTCTTCTGATTGCACTGAGTCTGTACCACTGAGCATCATCTGAAAGGAAGCCTCCAAGCTTGGCTTTCTGGATGTGCAGAACAACAACGTGATGGGCTGAACTCCTCAGTTCTCTCTAAGCATATTTTGCCCTATGCAGCAATTTGGGAGGCATACCCACAACTAATTCCAAACCTACAAGAAGAATACAAAACAAAACTAGCAGTGCTGSGGCACAACAACTTTTTCTGGTTGGATGAAAGCAGAGGTGGGTACTGCTGTGATCCTCTGAGCTCTCTTCCAGTCTGAGCTGCTCTTTTAGAAAAGAGGCCTTTAGGATCACATAGGATGAGGCCTTTTGATATGGTAGTGCAGGCAGGGAGTTTTGTAATAATTCTGGCTGCCAGAGGTAAATATTCATCTACCTGAACTGTCTGCAAATGGAAAATTGGGAAATGGAAAGAAGAAATTGAGGATAGGAGGGAGGAAACAAAAAAAAAAAAAAAAAAAAAAAAAAAAAAGAGTTCTTCAACTTTGTTTAACCAATCTCTCTGTCTTTATTTGTTTAGTATGGTAGCATGGGTCGTAGAAGGTTCGTATGGCACATTGATCAGATAATCAGAAAAAGGATAAATGGGCAGAGACGTTGACTCTGATTTGCATTAAATATCTTGTGCCGGAGGTCTAAATGCCATGGTAATTGTAGCATACCAGATAGCTGTCAGCTAATCACTTTTATTAGTTTGAATTTGGAAAACTGGATTTCAGCATGTTAAAAGTTGGTTAAGAGCTGATAGGTTTTGAATTGAGGAATCTAATTAACCTTGCTAGAAAGCTGCAAGGCGTTATATTAAGTCATGAAAATAATTTGTTGGAATAATTACATTTGAACTGTCAGGCTGGAGAAAGGTCATTTTACTTGTCCCGTCAGCACTCTGCATCTTTTCTGCAACCATCTTGCTTCTGCAGTTTTACTTGCCATATTCCTGGGTTTGATCAAGCCATCTAGCCTCTGGAGTCAGCGTGGGCAGTGTGGAGGCTCCTGAGGAGGATTAGGGCCACTAAAGATTTGTCACTCTTAGCTCTGGAAGCRCTGCTTGATGCTGCTGGGAGGCTGGTGGAGCTCTGTTTGGGAGCAGGACGCCTTATGGTCTCTGAAGGCCTGTGATCCCCTCTGAAGTTCCACTTGGGTGGAAGGTACTGAAGGTGTTTTCAGGTCCAAAGGAACTGTATAAACAATCATGACCTAGAAGAAAATCACCCAAGACTTGGTGGCCCATGTTGCGTTACTGCAGGGGCAGGGTGGCTGGTGAGGAGGCAGAAGGAATGTGCCAGAGACCCACTTCAGAGCTGCAAGATCACAGTTTGTGGCCAATGGTGTCCTGGGCCACCACAGCAGAAAAATGCAGTCACTGAGAAATCCTCTGGCTGCCACTGGCACATCAGTGCTGAAGCATGGACATATCAGCACTTAGAGTAATAATTTTAAATAAGAAAAAGTCTCTGTGAATTGTTAGGAGTTAAGCAAGCCTGCTGGTACGTGACACAACTTACCATGACAAGAGATGAATCTATAGAAGTTGTTTTTTAGTCAACATAAGGCATTAAAGCTGCTGGTTTTGCATTAAAAATGCAGAGATCACAACTGGACCATTGTTTGAAATCTTATAGAAAGAAATGTCTTCCAGCAGCTTTTCAGTCTCTATTGACAGGCAGTCGGTGCTGATTAAGACTGGAAAAAAACCATTAGGGCCCCTCATCTGCAGTTGCCTTCTAGGCTATGTCCCAGCTGAATCCCTCTCCACAGCAGAGGAGTTTCCCTCAGTGATGGGAAGAAACTTTTGCTGTAAAGCATTCAGAGCTACCAAAGGAACCCCAGCTTTTTGTATCTGACCCCACAGCAGCTCTCTCATGGTTGCAGTGTCCTGAATGGGTGCCTTCCAGGAGAAGAGATGTTCTAAGAGGCTCCCCAATCTTCTCATTTTGGTCATTAACTGACTTTGATTTCTCTCAGAGTTGTCACTTTGGGAGCTGTATGGTTTCCCATGCATATTTACCAGATGTGGTCATATGTCCAGACTTTAACAAAGGGAGAGGTGGTGCTGAGCAGGGAGAGGGCCAGACCAGCAAGCAGGATGCTTTGTTCTTTTCCTGCCCCTCATTCTCCCACAAGATCTTTGGCAGATTATTTTGTCTCTCTGCTCACTTTCTCCCCCTCTTCACTCTACTTGCTGTGCATTTAATCTGCATAGTCCTTCAGACAGGAGCTGATTCAGAGTGGTTCTGTGAGTGCCTCCCATGGAGCAGGTTTCATCTCCAACAGTGCTTTGAGATGCTGCATMAAAAGTAAGAGTAAAGAATGATAAGTGGCACCAGTGTTGGGTTTGCCAGGGCTCTGATAGTCTTTTCACTCACTGGCTTTGTCTCTCTTTGACTTCTCTACCTAAAAATGCTTCACTAGGACCAGAGACCTGGCATCAAACATTGTCAAAGGCATTTGCTACCCCTGGGAACAAATGTTGTAGATGGACAGATTCTAGAGATAAGAAGACTCCCTAGGTTGACCAGTTTGAGCTTCCTTCAGTTCATGGTACTTTTGTTTGTGTTGAAATGGCTTCATGGACTGAATGTTTCTAGGATCTCTAAATTAAACATATRCTGCATTTCACTTCAGTCTTCTCAGCTGTGTCTGTAAACATCTCCTTTTTGGTCTACTTAGGGAGCCTTTTAGTTTCTTCTGAATTACCACAAAAAAAAAGAGAGAGAGAGAATAAAAGTTGGCATATTTTACGGTTCTCTTCTGAAGACATTTTTACTAAAAGATGTGACTTAC